GATGGCTGAGACAGATGAGGGGCTTTCAAAGTTCATGAAAAAAATTGAATGAAAAGATAATGGAGGTTTTCTACAAACTTCTTGCAGTTCCCTCACACTAACTTTCCATTTCTTTCACATAGGGCATTAAAACCATGGATAATCAAGGATCAAGATTTAGTAAAAATTACGTTTTTCAAGATTTAATAAGAGTTAAATGTTTGTACTGTTTCGTTAAGAGCGCTCTTAAGCAAAACTGTCATTTTCTCTCCACTGTGTTTGTGTAGTAGTGAAGAATATGATGATTACTGTTTCAGGCGACTGATTTACGGTAAGGACCTAGTACAATTTCCTCACTGCTGCCTTTTCATACAGTGAAGAGGGCAACTAGAGCTTTGACCTGCAAGACACCCTAAGGATCTGGAGATCCCCTTCCCCTAGGCGTCCAGTATTCACTCAGAGAAATGCTGTTGTTTGACCTTATTGAATCATGATCCACACAGCTGTCAAAGTAAAAGTTGCCAACTATCCCCTTCCCTCCTCCCGCAGCATGTAAATAGCGGATAGCTTTCCTACTGTCAAGCAGTGTTACCTAGAGAACTTTAAGTGTGTGTGGGCATTCCACAGATACTGGCACTAGGAGTGGCCTGTCTTTGGAAGCCTTCTTGCAGTGGACAATTAGAATAGTTCTGAGGCAGTATTTGGGAGGTAATATTAAAACTTAAATGTATTTCTTCACTTTGCCTGTATGACATGTTATGCCACTTAAAGTCCCTCAGTTTCCATTTGTGAGAATCAACTGGGATAATGTGAAAGACAATGTGAAAGTATGCTAAAAATTGTGAAGGTTTTATATGAACATAAATTATACCCCATCTTTTCAAAAATAGACAACAAAAAAAGTGTCAGAGAAAGACTGACTTTTATTTCCATAACTTTACTTCTAAACTAAGTGAACATTTTCAACTTTGTCCTAAATGTACCCCCACCTTCCATTCAACACACTCATCTTTGACTCTTGGTCCTTTAAAACAAAATACCAATTTGCTTCACCTACTAAAGTGTCAGAGTCAATTTTATTTTATCTACTTGACTTGATAAAACAAAACCAACACACTAAATTATCATTTAAATCAGAACACAAATCAAGAAAAATGTACACTATTCTAACTATAAATATAGTAGTTTTACCTTTTATTTACAGGCAATAAATAAATAGGACATGAAAACTGAGATCAACCAAATTACTTACTATGCATGGAATTATATTACAATACATAAGGAACTGTAGTATTCTGGAAAAAGGAGGAATAAATATGCTTGTCCTTTTGTTCTTCTATATATAGTTATACTTTATGATTTTCAACATATACTTCAACATATACTATCTCTCTAGCACCACACAGCAACCTGTAAGGCAGGTAGAAATTATCTACATTTGACAGGCAACGCTAGGCTCAAAGGTGTTAATTAATTTGTTCAAAATGAAAAAAATCTGTCAAAGACCTAAATGCAACACATCTTGGGTCCCCTATCATTACATCAGCAGTTATGTTTTCAGGGATTTGTATGGCCCAAAAGAATCCTTTTTACCAATGCCATCTGAACCTGAACATATGAAACAGATAAACAGCAGCAACAATTTTTACAGTGTTTCACTTATACAGTAACAATTACTGATAGCAGTAACTTTGTGTTCTGATAAGTAAAAAATTAAGACAGCATATTCAGGAAGAAATTTCTTTAAAATGCAGAGCCTTCATCACCAATGATGATCTTTCTTATTAATGATATATTAAGAAAACAGTCAAATACACACACACACACACACACACACACACACACACACACACACAATGATACCCTGGAAACAACGGCAGATAGCAAGTTTGTTTTTGTATAAGCAAAATGTAAAAAGTGCAAAAACCACAGAAAGATTTATCCCTAGAACTACCCAAACATATTAAGAATTTTAAAATGTTAAGCCTGCCAACCTAAAGTGTAGAGTTTCACTTACTTCATTCAGTAGCATAAACTGCTCAACACTCAGAAGCACCTGGTAACACACCACTTGCATTTACCAGAAGGCAGTGGACTGTTACTTGCCTCCTGTAACGCAGTGAGCCACTCCACTTTGAAATTTAAAATTAGGGGGCATATTTCTAGTGTGCCACTGGAATTTCTTCAAGTAGACTACATCACACTTCAAAATCCACTGACTCTCTAAAGAGAAACACTTCTTCTTATTTCAAAAACAACTTTATTGAACCACATCAGTGATAACACAATTTAACAGGAGTTAGTGATTTGTGGATAGTTTGGTGTGGCTTTTGTGGTTGTCGGTTAATTTCTGTGCTTGGTTTGTCTCTGGGTTCTTTCTGCTGTTCCAAAGTCCCTATGTTGGACACATTCATTATTTTAAGATGTCTTTGTATTTACAAAATTTTGAATCAAAATTTGAAAAGGTACTGTAAGCATATACATTGAATCAACCTAAATTATTTTATTTCCTGGTAAATCTAGTTCCTTTTGATTTTCTCCCCAAATTCAGCACATTTCAACAAATGAAGCCAGTTCCAGGGAGAAAAGGGTTTATAAAGGTGACCCTCCTCCCATCATTGGTGAGGGGTCTAGCAGCGAACAGCAGTTCACAGGATTTTCACTCTTCCATTACAACTTACTCTGAACTAACTTCAAATGGCTGTGGCTCACTGAGTCTTTAGTGAACACGTTAGTATATGGAGGAGGTGGGGGTGTGGGGGTGGCGATAAATCCAGAAAATTACTGTTAAGAGAATCACAGCTGAATTTTACTTAGTTATAAACTTCTTGCAAAAAGAAAACTATTAAAAATAAATTCTTACAGGCTATTTTTAGGATGATGAATTTCAAATGCTAGACCTTGATGTCTTTTAAGAGCACTTAAGGATGGCACTTTAAAAAAAGCCATGTTGCCAAGTCTTGTCATAACTGGCTCAAACAACCCCATTTTCATCTAATGTTATTTCATGCTACTGCATGAATCAGTATTAAATAATAGCTTGGAGTTACTAAAAACTAGAATATTGGCACAGATGTACACTGCAATTAAGAGTATGGAAATGATAAATATCCATTTTCCATATACTCTCTCTAGGCCAACAGAAATAGTTTCTTTAAAAAACTGAGAGTAAGATCTATATCTCAGTGACTAGAGAAATGTCATGTATCCATAACCAACCTTTTTTCAAGAGAAAAATAAATTAAATTTTGTAGTCTAATTTCACCTTCAAACATCTCATTAGTCTACCAAATTGTCAGAGCTATTACTTACATATGCATACACACACACACTTTAACCTAGATGAATATAGCTTTTTTTCCTTTTTATTTAATTAAAAACAAAAAAGCAATGAACCCTCCTCCCCCCCCCCCCAGTAAAACCTAGAAAGAAAGAAAGAAAAGCTAGCTACCATTTTAACCAGGTTGGAGTATAATGTGTCTCAAAAGACACTTGTCATGTCAAAGGCATAGTATCATCCTTTTCAAAGTGAAGAAATAACGGATAATGATAAGCTAAATACAGATGACATCAGGCCCAGCAGTGAAAGAGTTAACATTTGACAGAGCCGCTCTGCACTTCTGATCCATTATATTTCTCACAGGCTGCGCTACAATGTGCAGTGCAAGTATCAACTGTAATTTGATCCCAGAGTTTATGGGGGGAAAATAGCTGCACACACTGAACATGCACATTCAATAAAAATGTTTTGAGAGAAATATAACCTATAAACACAACGTAAGGTATATTTAAATGTTAGATTAACTTCAAATCTGCAATCTCTTAGCTTTCCTCTAGCTCTCAAAAAAAAAAAAAGAAAGAAAGAAAAAAAAAAGGCAGCAGCCCTACTGCAGGGAAAAGAGGCTTGAAAAACAACTTTGATTGGCACTTGGCCTGACCCACAAAGGAAGAAAAGCAGTTTTGGACAAAGAGCGCAAATATTTGAGCTAGCTTACTTACATGCTTTCTGTTTTATTTTTTAAACATATAATGAGCAATTCCGGGGTAGACTGTAGTTCGAGAAACTGACTAAAAACGGAACTGTTCGTCTTTCTGGCTCCGTGCATTTGCACACTCAGCGATTTTAATTCATTTGGGCCGGGCAAACAGGAGCACCTCAACGAATGCTTTTCACGACATGAAATTTTAAAATGGAGCGTGGCGAGGGATAAACTGATTCAAAGAGTAATGAAAGTCCGATGAAAAGCTTTTCTCCAACCCAAGCGACTCCCCTCCCCCCTAGCCAGCTCCCCTCCCCCGCCAGAATTGATTAAGCCTAGGAAGCGAAATCATACCGGAGCAAACTTTCTGTCAGTCACCCTAGGAAGTAATAAGTTGATGAAAGCCACTGATTTGTTTTTCCTTCCTGGACCAACACGGAGGGGAGTGTGGACTAGGCGGGATGACCCACGTCCCCCTCCGCCGCCCGCGACCCCGGACAGGAACCAGCATTTCCCACAGGCATAAAGTTCCACGCTGCTTCACCCATTCCTTTACAGACTGAACTACAGACCCGGGACGAACAGTCCAAGAATTTTCAAAGAGGGCGTTAGGGGAGGGCGCGCCAGGCAGAAGCACCCCAAGGAATAAAACACAACACCCCAAGATTCAGCCGCAGCCAGGAGGGAGCCAGGAAGCTCCAGACCCGACAGCTCAGGTTTCCAACCGACCAACCTCGTCTAAGCTGCACCAAGAGGGGGGTCCAGCCTCCTGGACGTGCCCAGGAGCCCGCGGGTCCTTCCTCCCGCTGAGGGAGGCGCGGACCCGGGGTGCAAGGAGGGAGGCGACGCGAACAGCATCGAGAATTAGGAAGAGCGGCCAAACCTCACCCCCCGGGGACCCGCGTCCGTCCCGACGGCGGAGCTTCCGACGCCGCGGTGCAAATCTCCCTCCCTCGACCCACGCCCCCTTCTCCGGTCTCCGCGCGGGGATCGCGCCCCGGGAGCCCTGGCCAGAGCGCGCCGGGGACCTGCAGCCCGTACCTTCCGCAGCACTTTCCGGCAGTTGGTGCAGAGCAGGTAGTTGGTCGCGGCCGAGGGGCTACTGCCGCTGCGGTTCATCGTGGCCGCAGGCGCGGAGGGCGAGGGCGGGCGGCAGGCCGAGCCGGGCTGTCACTGCCGCCGGCCGCGCCACCGAGGGGCCGGGCTGTCCCCCGCCGCCGGCCGCGCTTCAGCCTTCGCCTCCTCCCGGCGAGCTAGGGGGAAGGGGAAGCGACGGCTAGAGAGCGAGCGACACGGCCCGAGGCGACCCCCGCAGCCACGGCGGAGACGGCGGCGGCTGCTCTTCACCGGCCGGGTGTGCCGCCCGCTCCCATCCTCCAGGCCCCCGCCCCCGCCAGGCTAGGACGAGCAGCCGCCACCGCTGCTGCTGCCGCCGCCGTCGCCGCCGCCGTCGCCGCAGCGCCTCAGTGCGGCCCCGCCCCCGCCTCCCCAGCACCTCCACCACCTCCACACTCCGGGACCGCCCCCTCCCGCCAATCGGACCGCTCCGGCCACGCCCCCGGGGCGCTAACCCTCAGCCAATGAGCTCCCAGAGCCGGCGGGGAGCTTCGCCGGCCAATCGCAGAGGCCGAGGACGCCTTGAATCTCCGGGCAAGTTAAGTTTATCTCCGAGGCTCAGAACCAAAGGGAGGTGGCGGGTTAGTTAGGTAGCCGGGTGGGAAGGAATACTGTGCGCCGTGCCGCCAATAGGAGGTAAAGGGTGTCTTGTCTGCCATTAACTGGGAAGCCTAGCCCCTCCTCGAAGGCCAGTCACGCCCCCTTTCCTCCGTCCTTGCAGAAATGGGGAGGAGAGTGAGATACATAGCTAGGAGGTAAACTAGAGGTTCTAAGACTGAGCTAAATAATTTCCTGATCTCTTGTGAAAGCGGGGCTAAAATATTCTTACCATCAGGGCAGCGGCTAGGCTCTCTCTCAGCTAAAACCAGAGCTCAGCTGTAAGGAAGACTTGCGTTCACGCCTCACTTGGCATCGGGGATCTCCAAGAACTTTATGCATCGGGAGTCATGTTTTGCAGAAAAACCAGTTAGTTACCTGAGGCTTGGAAGGGAGACAGGGGAGAGGTATGAGAAGTATATTGATATAGTTCATCAGGTTACTGGAAGAAAAAATAGACACGAAACTCTACACAGTCCTCCCACCAATGAAAGATCCTTATTTGTCCAGCACAAAAGGCCCCAGAGAGGTTTGTCCCCTCACCCAAAAGTCCTGTCCCCAGAGGCAGCTGGACTGAAGACTGCGGAGGAGAGGTTCTGAGAACAAATCACCATGTAAAACTATTGGGCTGGACCTGCCTCTCCCAAAGCATTAAAAAAAATCATCACCATAATGGTGAGTCAGGGTTCTCGCGTCCCAGCTTTGGGGAGAGAGGAAGATGCAATTGGGAAAAGCTCTGGTTGGCGGAGGACGGGGCTGGGGGCAGGGAGTCAGCTCTCCCAGGGGCCAGCAACACGCGTGCGGGTTGAACGCCGGTTCCGGACGCGGAAAAAGCCTGGAACCTGCTCCCCAGTGAGAACAAAGACAGGCGCTGAACAGGAACCTGATTGGTGCCCGGCGCTCACGCCTCCTCCGGGCCCGCAGACAACTTGCTCGCCCACTGGCGTGGAGCGCAGCGCTCACTGGAACGCCAGCTCCAGGTCTGGCTTGGCCTTAACCGCACTGGACTGTGTTATGACATCACCTGTTTTCTTTCGTTAGAACTAAGATCTGTATCCTCGGCTTTGGCTCTCTCCTTTTGGAAAGGTCTCTGGCATAACCAGAATTTATGTTGGCCTGCTGTTGGCATAATGAATCTGTGGAGATGATGGGGGGCTGGGAGAGGATGATAAAGGTTTCACTGGGGTGCATATTTTTCTTTTCTTCCTCTTCTTTTTGAAGAACTACCCTGATTGTCTAAGGCGCCCTAGTGGCGCAATGGTTAAGCTCTTGGCTGCTAACTGAAAGGTCTGTGGTTTGAGCCCACCCGTGAGTCACCCTTAGGAATTTGATGGGGACAGTTGGGTCCTGCCCAACAATTACTTTAAGTCAGACTCCACACCTTGGCTACTTAAGGGATTCAGTGTGGTGTTGTGATGCAAAATCCAAAAGGTACATTTGGAGGTGCTAGCAAGTTTAACATGTCAACGCTATTAGGCCAAATCATGTGCTCAAAACTGTCAGTCTCCTCATTGCTCAAAAGCTGCCTCCTTTTCCTCCCTTTCAGAGACCAGTGTATAAACCAAGCCTATGCACTGATCAAAGAAGATGGAAATCTGCTGGTGTCAGGATAAGACTGACCGGGAAACTGGGTTTAGGTTACGTCGCGGAGTAAATGCGTTGACTCATTACTTATGAGACCTAAAGGCCATCTGATGTTCTGCAGACATGTGTAGCCTACAGTAGCAAGAGGGTGTTGAGAGTGGTGGTTCAAGCCCACTAGCATCTCAGAGAGAGCAGGATGAGGCTGTCTGCTGTCATAAAGATTTAGTTTTGGTTACTGTATCAGAAGCTGGGGTCTGTGCACTCCTCACAGTCATGGTTATGTTTAAGACCATGGTTGCATTTACTGTATCAGTCCATCTTTTTGAGGGTCTTGATGTTACTTGCTAAAATAGGTTGTGGAAATGTTTAGCCCATTCCACTCATACTGTGGTGAATAAAAACACAGGTGAGAGCAATCATTTGAGTTTACCAAATCTAATCTGAAATTCTGCTGTATGAAGCTCATCAATATTCCACCTCCCTCTGCCTGTAATTGCTCCACCTTTCTGCTTGATGGCTTCTCTGGTTCAAAGATTTCTTGGTGGAGACAAGCAGTTTTCAGTTTGTTCCTGATAGCCTTCTCATAATTCTTCTGCAGCATATTTGATTGGTTTGGGTGCTATGCGCTCATCAGAGAGCAAATCCCTTGCAGTCAGAGAAGGAATTCCAGATACTTTGTATCACCAGCTTCTACCTCAACCCATAAAGAAGTGCTTACAAAATCTTAGAGAAAGTAATGAGTTTTTACTCTTTCCTAACTGCACCCGTCCACCCCTAGGATCTATAATTTGGATCTGTAATCAATTAAAAACTAAACTCACTGCCATCGAGTCGATTCTGACTCATAGCAACCCTACAAGACAGGATAGAATTGCCCATGTGGGTTTGGGAGACTATACTCTTTCCTGGAGTAGAAAGCCTCATTTCCCCCCTGGAAGCAGGTGGTGGTTTTGAACCACTGAATTTTCAGTTAGTAGACCAACACATAACCACTAGGCCACCAACACCCTCCCTTCCCCCCAATTCACTGCCATTGAGTCAATGTTGACCCACAGTGACTATAGAATAGGGTTGAATTTCTCCCCGTGAGTTTCCAAGACTCTTACCCTTTACTGGAGTAGAAAGCCCACCCTTCACCTGCAGAGCAGCTGGTGGTTTCCCACTGCTGATCTTACTTACTGTCAGCAGCCCAGGCTTCCTGAATAGCCACCTCCAAAACAACCAGACAAACAGACCCTGCCGCCGACCTCCAGAGTGGAACTGTACTCCGTAGGGTCATCCGTTCCTGAGTTTATTTTTCCAGTGTAGATTACAGACCTTATTTCTGGGGTGCTTCTGAGGCCTTGAACCTCCAACCATTTCCATAGCGGCCAAGCATCAACTATTTGCAACCCAGGAACTCCAATGAGATCCTCTAAAAGCGCCTCAATAAATATCTGTGAATTAAATGATTCAAAGAAAACCATCATCAAGAGCAGTGCTATTGGGTTCTTCTTACCTCGGTTATTGGACATATCAGTTAATTTTGGCCTCACACTTAATTCTACCTCCAATCTAAGAACAATTAGGTCTTATGACATGGTACTGCTTGATGCTCACCCTCACTCTCAATTAGCAAAGTGTGGTGAAGAAACTAGGTGGTGCCTAGCTATCAGAAGCAATAGAGCCTGGGGTCCTAAAGGCTTGTCTTCAAACAAGTGACCCACTAAGTGAGGCATCAACTAAGCCTACATTTTGGTTATTAGACATATGATTTATTTACCAAGGATGGTAAATAATAAAACACAAATTCAAAGGAGGGAATGGTATCAGAGCTTAAATTATGAACACCTGGTTTACAAAAAGCTATGGATGGCAGTTGAGCCCCAAAATCCATGTTCAGGGTCCACGCATGGATTAAGCCTCTGGTGAATCATCTCCGACCATAGTCTAGGGATGTGAATAACCTTGTTATCAGACAGAGAGCATTGTAAAGTCAATTATAGCAGATTTATAAGTGAATGGAAAATGCATGTGGATTAAGCCTCTGGGGAACAACCTGTGACAAACTAGGATGTGAGACTTGCTATTTCAGAATGCATTGGGAAGTAGATTAGTACAGATGTAGTTAGATTACAATTTAACACCTTGTCATTTGATCTCCTTTTGACCCATTTTAAATCTGTTCTAGTTTTTAATATTTTCTGCTCTTTGATTGAGGTTTTTCTCTGTTTTACTTTGTTGTTAGTTTTCTTTTTTTTAATTTTTGAAATGTGATCTGTATATGAAATTCAGGATTGGTTAATCTACAGAGATAGTAACTGGATTAATGGCTTCTTGAGGGTCCAGCAGGGGAGATATGGAGCTAATAGCAATGAATTACAAGAATGAAGAAAATGTTCCAAAATTGAGGGTGACCATATCATATCATAAAGTGGAAGATGACAACATCATTCCATAACTGCCAAAGCACCGAGAATCACGGCCCTGCCAAATCTATACGTGACCTTAACTATGTGAGCCGGCATTACTCCTGGTGCACATCTTGCCTGATGTACTTTTAGCAAAGTACTATGTGTAAAATAGCCAGCTGGTAGATTTTCTACTTTTGTCCGAATATGGAATATTAGATTAAGGAGATAGTTGATAGAAGTAGATATCCTGTCATTTGTTTCTTGAACAAAGGAATTTGCACTTGAGACAGCTGTAAATGGATTGTTGCCCTTGGGTTATTAGTTGTATAGCTTTCTCTCCAGGAGACACAGACGCTCTATCAAAGAAGGCCTCCATTATAGCACCTCTCCACTGCTTTCCCTCCGCCCCCACTTCCACCAAGAAAATGATTCTCACCAAAACTCACTTTTCAAAAAACAAGT